CATACAGGACCCCTTTTATAGAATGGTGGAGCACCAAATGGGCATTAGTGAGGGGGAAGGGAGTGGAGTGGGGAGGGTTTGGCCAGTTCTAATAGGGTATGTAGATGATACTACTGTTCTGGTTAGGGAGGGGATGTCAATGAACGCCTTAGATGGGGTAGTCGACACGTTCGCACGTGCAACTGGTATGAGAGTGAATTCAGAGAAGTCCATGGTCATGGGGTTAGGAGCTTGGGTGGAGAGGGTTGAGTGGGGTAGTGCAGTTGTGACGAAGCGGGTGATGTCATTAAAAATTTGTGGTATTATCTATGCAGATGATCTCGATGTTGCACGTGCGGACAACTCGGTCAGGTTGGTAGACAGGACACGGGGTCGCTTGGGAGCATTGCGACCCTATCATTTGACCCTTGTGCAGCGTGCCATTGTAATTAACGTCTTATTGTATAGTAAGGTTTGGCACGTGGCAGCCGTGTTCCCTTTAACTGGGACGGCAACTGCAAATATACTTAGAGGGGTTTTTAAATTTTTGTGGGGTTCAGGCTGTGATTGGCTTAAAAGGGATGTGGTAATGTTACCTGTGCGTCAGGGGGGTTGGGTTTAATGAATTTAAAGCGGAGGGTCAAATGTATCTTCATTAAAAGGGAGGTGATGAGGGAGGGTGTGGGTGGGGGGGGGGGGGGTTGGTCAAGATACACAGTAGATTGCAACACATGTTTTCTGGGATAGAGTTGCGTGAGTGTGAAACTATTTTGAGGCAGTGGTGTTGGTTAGGGATCTGGGTAAGGTAAAAATAAGTAGGCTGTGTAGGATGTTAGTGGAGAGGGTTATGGCACCGGTGGAGGGGATTTTCCCCATGTATGATGGGGAAGTATATGGAGAAGGTTCAGTAGGTTAAGGTTACAACCCGTGGGTGTGAGGTGATGTTCGTTTTATGCTGGGATTTTACATCGGGGAGTGGTTTTACGGGGCTAGACGGGTGGTTGATGGGGGGGGGGGTCTGTGGAATATGTGTGAGGGGAGGATTCTGCGTTCCACGTAGTGTATTTTTGTGAGGGGATGGGGAGCGTCAGGGGTTGGTTGAGAAGGGGCTGCATAGATAAGTGGTAAAAACTTTTCTGTTCTGCGGGCATTAAGTCTTGACGTGGGGGTATGGATGAGAGTATTATTAGGGCTGTGGAGTACATTATGGTAGATTATGTGTACATACGTGGGGAATGAGGGGAAAGGGGTCAGTGAGGTGAAGAGGCGGGTATTGGCAGTACGTTTTTAAAACGTTGTGCCGTAACAGAGAAATTTATGGGAGAAGGTGGGAGCGGGCTTTCTCAGAGGGATATAGAGACCTAACATTAGAGGATTTATTAAATTTGTAAATATGGTGGGAGGGGCAGGGTAGGAATGGTAAATGCTAATGTAGGATGGGCTGTCAGGGGTAGAAACGGGGTAGTCTCCTTGCATAATGTAACGGGAGAATGTGTATGAACCTGTGCGTATGATGTGTAATCAAAGTCTGGAGAGTGTAATACCACTGTATGTGTTTGACTTGGCAGTGTTACATTGTTCTAAGTAATATTACTCTTTTGCATGTATTTAGACGACCTGGTTGAGGTGTCATTGTGTTGGATTCTTGTGTATTAATCTGTTCTGTGTTTTATAATCATCTTGTATTTGCATTACTTTCAATAAAATACGTTAATCTATTAAACGTAGAAGCATTATTAATATATAAATAACAAAGTGGAATATAAATGCATATTGTAGGCTTGGTGCGTCTTTGTTAATAATAATAACAATGCATATTGTAATGTAGTCGTGTTCTTGCTTAACATAGGTGCTGAGGCACTGGAACATGAAAGTGGCTGCCCTTGGGTCCCTGGTGGTGTCGATGAGTCTGGAATCCAATTCTTTAAGGAAACGTGTTGCGTGTTTTCCCCATGATCCCAAGGTCTCTGATCCCACTGGGACAAATTGATACTGTTGGCTAATGTCCCTGTACTTGCTGATCTTGTACTCCTCCCTGTGGTCAGCAGCTCATTCCTGTCGCCCGACACTGTGATGGATATAGGTGTCAGCCAGTGTGGACACACAGGTATAGTCCCGTGCTAAGAGCTTGCAATTCTTCCAAGGATTGATGGTGATCCCGTCGGGGCAGATTACTGGGTTGTGGGTATTGTTGGCTACTAGTGATCGGGGCTCCCTCTCGGCTGGGCATCCAGCTGTAGCAAGGGTTCTCTTTATGATGTCGTTGATCCCTTGAGACAGCAAGGCGCAGAGCCACTGCAATACGAAGGGTCTTTGGGTCAAGTCGCGTTCCAATTGCAGATATTGGAACTCTTTGGAGGAAGTCCCCGGAGTGATGTGCGGTCACAGCCTGGAGACGGGCAATCTCCCTATCTGATGTTGGAGCCCTGAGCATGTTGGCAAGCACCTTTTCAGCGATCGGACCATCCCAGCTTGCCTGTTTGTGCGCCAGTGCTGCACTAGGGTTTGGTGCTGGAGCAGCAAGAGTCTCCCATTCAGTGATGGTACTGGCATAGCTAGGGTCCTGTATTCCTGATGAGTCGCTGAGGTTATCAGGAAGAATTTGTCTTATCAACTCGTTTGATGCTGTGGAAGAGGATAGGAAAGCTGGTAGAGCAATCTGGGAGGATCTGCGTACTCCCAGCCCCCGAAACCTTGCAACCACTGACCTTCTTCAAGGGAAAGATTCAATACACTCTCTAGCATGGTCTTGAATAGAGAGTCATATTCCTTGAGTTTTGGACTGCTGAAGGCTGGGGAGCATCTCAGAAAGTATGTATGTATATATATATATATATATAATATATATATATATATATATATATATAATATATATATATATATTTATATATATATATATATATGTAGTTACGCTTGGTCACCCTCCATATTACTTAGGGCCGAAATATCAGCTAATATCATATTGCTAACTTTCTTATCAATAGCTAAAATAAGGGAGTCCGACTATATAATATTATCTGGGGCCATAGCATCTTACTAAATGGAATCATATTCAATTAATATGTATTGTAACTTGACTTAACGTCATAAGTTAGGAGTAACAATGCGGGTATTGTAAAGCACTTGAGTAACGACCAGTCTCTGGTTAACCCCCGAGCTACCTCTGTGAATGACACGTGACCTACCTCATGTCAGGTCAACCCTCCTCATAGCAAGCAGTAGCAGCTGGTCTTCAGGCCAAGGTGCAGCTCTTTGACATACTCTGTTGTAATAGAACCCCATTCCTTTGAGAATACGAGGGAAGGTGCTCGAAGGGGACAAACGTGTGTTTCACAGGAGGTCTGAAGAGCTCCGTGAGGTCACCTTGTATAACTTTGCAAGTATGAAAGGTAATAATACCTTAAGGTCATGTATATACTTCTGTGTATATTCTTGCACTCGTAACATACGAGAGAAACGCAAATGACTTATAATTGATGTTTCTAAGACACAATATGACACTAAAACGAGTTTTAAATTGTACTCGTGGTTCTCTTCTCCCTAAGACGAGAAGTGGTTAGAAAACCATTCAATTATTGCATCTCGACCCCTTTTAAAGTAAGGACAGGTGGGCAATTTCTATATATTTATATATAATATATATACATATATCATATATTATACATGTCGTGCTGTATAGGTAAAACTGGTCAATTAGCAAGAACTCTTTTTAAAATAGTCCTTTCTAAAATTTTCCCTTGTACGTTTAAAGATTTTTTCATTTATGTTAATGTAAAAATTAATTTTGTGCCAAAAGAACCTTAGAAAACTTACTTAACCTTATAACAAGCGCAATTTAATTTAGCCTATAATAACTTTAATATATTTTAGATAAGATTACGGTAATCAATAAAACAATTATTATTATAAAACTTTATTTCGCCAGGTTCAGTTTTTGCGACATCATGGCACACAAATTTTTGCTTGTCTTATAGAGCAAGAAGTGTTGCTATTTAAGCCAAAATCGCAAGTTATTCCTATATGGAACGATGTTTGTCGTGCCGATTACGATAAACTTTCCATTTTGGCTTAAACGGCAACTCGCTTCTTGCCGAATAGCGCAGACCAAAATTTGTTTGTGCAATAATTTCGCGAAAATCATTCTGGTCCTATCGGAAAATTATATATTAAATTAGTATGAACTTGTATAAAATATTTAATTGGATTAGGCTAAATTAAATTCCGCTTGTTTTAAAAAGGTTAGGTAAGTTTTCTAAAGTTCTTTTGGTACATAATTATTGTGTACCTTGACCTAAATGAGAAAAATATAGAGGACTAAATTTTAAAGGTGTTCTTGCTAATTGACGAATTATACCTATTCGGCACGAAAATTACATCCAAATATGACTCGACACCGATACATTTATCCTGGCCCCTGGGAACCATAACCTCCCAGCGCCTTAAACTACTTGACCACCAACCTACAAACACCAGTCACAGTAAGCAGACCAGAGCTGCATCCTGGTGCTACCATATTCATGGCCGTCGGCAGTACAGGACAAATTGTATTCTTTTTACAGTTTAGAATTCCAGTTTCAACGAATAGTGCATTGAAAATATCGAAAAATATGGTAAAATGATTATTTTACTGCATATTTCGACGATTTGGAGCATTTAGAGCACTATACATATGTATGTGAGACCAAGTGAATTTTAAGGAAATATCTGACTGCACTGGCCTTGAGTCGAGCTTAAGTGGCGTGCTAAGGTATCAGGGGTTCGATTCCCGGCCAGTGTAGTTTATTTGTATATATCTTAAATCATATATTACCAAGCTGCCTACATAATCCATCTTTAATTCTCTAATATCGCCACATAATTTTCTTAATTTCTCTTTATTTTCTTCAAATCAACGTCACTAAACTCCTAATATTTCCACTTCGTTTATCTTAATTGCTAAAAAATCATAAATGATTCTTTGCACGTATATAAACGTACAAAATACTTATGGTGACCTAGCTGACTCTGATCTCCCTGCACAGACATGGCGGTTCAGAACTTCGTTGGTGATGCGTTCCGAGGAGCCACCTGGGTAGCTCTCCACAATGGTGGTGGTGTGGGTTGGTGAGTATTAACATCAATGTTGTTGAGAGGAGGCGAAGAGCGGTAAATTGCAAGTGTAATTTTACTTCATTGGGAGCTATAAGCCACTGTTGTCATTCAACGTGAGTATCGCAAGCTTGAGCCTTCCTCTTATCGTGACCCGGCCTTTGACAAGTCACATTCATAATGAGTAGAGTAGCGACGGTAACTTCGGTGTAGGTATTGAGTAGTGATTAATAGTGTGGAACAGAATTGAGTGAATAAGGTAACAATCTCAATAATTAACAAACTATTAAATTAAAAATTCTTCAATTTATAAATAATAATATATTAATATTTTTTATAATAGTAATAATAATTATTATTTTTCTTATTTCTGTTATTCATAATATTAATGATAGATATAAGAACGAAGTGTTAATGTTGAGCAGAAGTTTGTAGATGCAGGGAAGTGGGTGCGGGAGGGAAGAAGAGCGATTGTTGGAATGATGTAAAGAGTAGTAAGGGAGAAAGTTAGTACGAGAGGTTTTTACAAAGTAAAAGTGATGCAAGGAAGGAGTACATGGAGAGAAAAGGAGAGACTAGGAGAGTTGTGTAGAACAGTAAAAGATAGCAAATGGATCTGACAGTTATAAATAGGAGAGGAGAGCTATTAGTTGGAGAAGATAGAGGGAATATTAGGAGGAAGCGTTAAATGTAATATCGTACATTGGGGAGGTGGGTATAACATGTTGTGGGAGTGAGGAAGAGCCAGTTGTGTGGGGAAGCACGTCAGGCAGTGGGTAGAATGAAATGGGGTTCGTTCTGTTAAACATCAACTCAACAGAACGAACACTAGCAGCGCTGTTATGCATAACTTCAACCCATTTTCGTATGTCCCATTTTCATATGCTTCCAAGGAGTATCTGAAGTACCATATAGGCTGATGAAGGACCCATACGTGCAACACCTGGGTTTCATTGCTTTGTAGTGCCTTTATCAATACAATACATGGACATGATCTAAAGCTAGGAAAACATACAGAAGGCGGTAGAAGACGAGATAATAAGTCTGTCTAGGAGCAGGTGATGAGCAATGTAGGCTGGCATCTACACTGACCTTCATAAATAAGGTTTTCCTCGCTCCAACGAATGCCAGACACCTCACACATCTGGGCCAGGAAAACATTTTCCAGCTTCCATATTTAAAGTTTCTGAAGAATATAAAGGCACAATACCGTTACTGGAAAAATACACAACGGAATCTTATGACGGCGTTTCGGTGCTACTAACAAAATTAATATTGTGAGTATACAGGTTTCTCCTTAACACTTGAGGGCTCACACTTCTTGCCACTATCACTTGTTGTAAAAGCCAGTGTTAACACTCTGCGGTCACTGGCCTCACTGTCATGGCCTCACTGTCATCTACTGCATAGGCGTCTCTGCAATCAACTGTCACTGGCCTCGCTCTCATCTACGGTTAATGGCCTCTCTTCGTCGGTCACTGACCTCTGTCATATACAGTCACTGGCCTCACTGCCGTTTACTGTCGCTAGCCTCTGTTTCTTCTATTGTCACTGGCCACACTGATTTCTAGTCTTTTTAGTAGCTGACGTCTACTGTCACACACCTCACTGTAATCTACGGCCACTGGCCTCAATATCACTTACTGTTAATGGCCACACAGACATTTACTGTCACTGGCCTCACTGCCATTTACTGTCACTGGCCTCACTGCCATTTACTGTCACTGGCCTCACTGCCATTTACTATCACTGACCTCACTGGCATTTACTGTCACTGGCATTTACTGTCACTGACCTCACTGGCATCTACTCTCGTTCTCCTCACTGTCATCTTCTGTCACTAGCCTCACTGTAATCTCACTGGCCTCACTGCAATGTACTGTTACTGGCCTTCTGTCATCTATTGTCACTGGCCTCACTCTCATTTACTCTCACTGGCCTCACGCTTCTACTGTCACTGGCCCCACTCTCTTCTACTGTCACTGGCCTCTCCCTCATCACCTGTCACTGACCTCTTAGTCATCTACTCTCATTGGCCTGACTCTTGGTTACTGTCACTTGCCTCATTGTAATCTACTGTCACTAGCTCCACTGAAATCTACTGTTACTAGCCTCAGTGTTAAGCACTGCCACTGAGATCACTTCCATCTACCCTCTCAGGCCTCACTGCCTTCTACTGTCACTGTCTTCACTGTCATCTAGTCTCATTGACCTCACTGTCATCTACTATCACAGGCCTCACTACCATCTGCTGTCAGTGCCCTCAATGCCAATCTACTTTCACCGGCGTCACTGTAATCTACTCACTGGGATCACTCTTCTACTGTCACTGGCCTCACTGCCATTTTCGGTCACTGGCCTATCTGTCATCTACTCTCACTGGCTTTATTGTCGTCAACTGTCACTTGGCCTCTGACATCTACTGTCGCTGGCCTATCATATCCTGTTACTGGCCTTACTCCCTTCTACTGCCAAAGGCCTGAGTGTCATCAACGGTCACTGGCCTCAATCTCTTCCACAGTCACTGACATCTGCGGTCACTGGCATGTCATCTACTATCACTGGCCTCGTTCATCTATTCTCACTGGCCTCACTGCCATCTACTGTCACTGGTCTGACTCTCATATATTGTGACTGGCCTCAGTGGCATCTACTGTGACTGGCCTCAGTGGCATCTACTGTGACTGGCCTCACAGGCATCTACTGTGACTGGCCTCGGTGGCGTCTACTGTGACTGGCCTCGGTGGCGTCTACTGTGACTGGCCTCGGTGGCGTCTACTGTGACTGGCCTCGGTGGCGTCTACTGTGACTAGCCTCGGTGACGTCTACTGTGACTGGCCTCGGTGGCGTCTACTGTGACTGGCCTCGGTGGCGTCTACTGTGACTGGCCTCGGTGGCGTCTACTGTGACTGGCCTCGGTGGCGTCTACTGTGACTGGCCTCGGTGGCGTCTACTGTGACTGGCCTCGGTGGCGTCTACTGTGACTGGCCTCGGTGGCGTCTACTGTGACTGGCCTCGGTGGCGTCTACTGTGACTGGCCTCGGTGGCGTCTACTGTGACTGGCCTCGGTGGCGTCTACTGTGACTGGCCTCGGTGGCGTCTACTGTGGCTGGCCTCGGTGGCGTCTACTGTGGCTGGCCTCGGTGGCGTCTACTGTGGCTGGCCTCGGTGGCGTCTACTGTGACTGGCCTCGGTGGCGTCTACTGTGACTGGCCTCGGTGGCGTCTACTGTGACTGGCCTCGTGGCGTCTACTGTGACTGGCCTCGGTGGCGTCTACTGTGGCTGGCCTCGGTGGCGTCTACTGTGGCTGGCCTCGGTGGCGTCTACTGTGGCTGGCCTCGGTGGCGTCTACTGTGACTGGCCTCGGTGGCGTCTACTGTGACTGGCCTCGGTGGCGTCTACTGTGACTGGCCTCGGTGGCGTCTACTGTGACTGGCCTCGGTGGCGTCTACTGTGACTGGCCTCAGTCATTTGCTGTCACAAGCCTTACTGTCTTCTACTATCATTGGCTTCCCTCTAATCTATTGTCACAAGCCTCACTGCCATCTGCTGTCAGTGCCATCACTGTCAATCTGTCACTGGCCTCACTGCCATCTACATTCGCTGGCCTCACTGTCTTCTACTCTAACTGGCTTCACTCTCATCTAATGTTACTTTCTTCACTGTTATCTACTGTCGCTGGCCTCAGTCATCTATTGAAACTGTTGTCACTGTCTGTTGTCACTGGCCTCATTGTGATCAACTGTCTCCTGCCTCACTGCATTGTACTCTCATTGACCTCACTGTCGACTGTCACTTGCCTCATTGTCATCTTCTGTTTCTGGCCACACTGTCATCTTCTTTCATTGGCGCCACTGTCACAGGCCTCACTACCATTTGCTGTTAGTGCCCTCATTGTTAATCTACTCACAGGCGTCACTGTAATCACTCGTCTACTCACTGGCTTCACTGCTATTTTTGGTCACTGGTCTCTCATCTACTCTCATTGGCCTCTGTCATCTGATGTCACTGGCCTCACTGTTACCTACTCACTGGCCTCACTGTTACCTACTCACTGGCTTCACTGTCATCAACTGTCACTGGTCTCACTGTCATCATCTGTCATTGGCATCATCGTCATCTAGTGTCCCTGGCCTTACTGCCATCTGTCACTGGCCTCTCTGACATCTATTGTTACTGGCCTCTGTCATTTCCTGTCACTGGTCTAACTGTCACCTACAGTCACTGGGGAAGTGTCATCAATGGTCATTGACCTCACTCTCTTCTAATCACTGGCCTCTCCGCCACCTGCTGTCACTGGCATCTGTCATCTATTGTCGCTGGCCTCACTGCCTTCTGATGTTAGTGCCCTCAATGTTCATCTACTGTCACAGGCGTCAGTGAAATCTACTCACTGGTCTCACGGTCATCTACTGTCACTGGCCTCATTGCAATCTACTGCCACTGGCCTCTCTGACATCTACTGTCACTGGCCTAAGTGTCATCAATGGTCACTGTCCTCACTCTCTTCCACTATCACTGGACTCTCCAACATCTATTGTCACTGGCCATACAGCCATCTACTGACATTGACCTCACTGGCATCTTTTCTCACTGGAAACACTGTCATCTACTCTGACTGGCCTCACTGCAATCTACTGTCACTGGCGTCACCCTCATCTGCTTTCACTGGCGTCACAACCATCTACCGTTACTGGCCACAGTCATCTACTGCCATTGGCCTCTCTCTTATCTACTCTTTCTGGACTCAGTCATCTACTGTACTGTCCTCATTTTCATCTATCACTAACTTCACTGTCTACTGTAAGTGGCCTCACTGTCATCTACTCACTGTTCTCATTGTTATGTACTGTCACTGGCCTCACGGCCATCAACTGTCACTGGCCTTTCTGCCATCTACTGTCACTGGCCACGCTGTCATCTCTCACTAGTCCCAGTCATTTACTGTTACTGGCTTCACTGTCATCTTCTGTCACTAGCCTCACTGTCAGCTACTGTCACAGGCATCACTCGT